TGCAGGGATACGACCACTACGTTGTAGTGAATGAAGGAATTGGCGCGCTTTACCCGAGTTTTCCGAAGCGTCACCAATTCGATAAACAGGAGGTTCTTTTCCACTATGAATACCTTTTCCATTTTTGATCGCTTTCTGTTCGGCAATTAGTAATTGATCGTAAGCACTAGATCGATCTTCATCATCTTTCTTGTGTCGTATAACATGTGCTAGACCACGTTCAACGAGTGCTTCAGCAATATTTGTTTCGCCAAGTTTTACAGTAGCGCATTCACGTGCTTCAAAATTGTCCTGTGCAGGTTTTTCATAATCAATAGTAACATTAACTGTTTTTCCAATTAATCGTTTACGAAGTAATTCTTTAGCTTCAAAATTATATTCAGGCAGTTTTGGATCTTTAGGTTTCGGCTGTCGTATACTTGAAAGTTGTAATTTTTTCTCAACGCCGCTACGATTTACTCTAATTTGAAGTGTATCACCGGAAATAATTTTGGTAACGGTGCCGCTGAATTCATGATCTTCACCGCCTGCCTTGATTCTAGCCACGTGATCTTGCCAAATACGTAATCGTTTTTCTTTGGCTAATTTCTCGGCAGCTCTTAATTTCACTGGACCATCGGTGACAAGCGTGATACTCCAATCAACTACTTTTGCTAATCCAACTGAAACTAAAGCTTCAGCGATATTGCCTGCCGGATGTAATACCGAACCAATTAGTGCTTGATTATTACTCGATTGTCCTTCCAACACAACTTTGACATTGCGTTGTAATAATTTTGATTCTACGAAAAATTTAGCTTCTTCACCAAATGGTTCGACTAAATCTTCTGCTTCTGGAATTCCTTTTCTTACTGTCGGAGCTTTAATCCCAGAGATCATTAAGGTAATATATTGTTGTGGTTCAGGTGGTGGTAACAATAACAAAACGCGTAGAGTGGAAGCATCGCGTATTTGTTCAACTATGCCATCAATAGAAGTGCCTCGATATTTATGTAAAAATTCCGAGGGGTCTCCTGGTAAAGCATAATTAACAGTACGTGTAGCATTTCCCTTATCTCCCCATATTCCCTTTGCAGCTTCTTTAGCCGACTGTTCTAAAGACAATAAAGGTGCCAATTCATCCCCGTCATCTTTAGTTTTTCGTTCTCTAACTTTTACCCAACCTTCACGCAGAGCTTGGAATGTTACGTTCTCGTTATTAATAAAGATACTTCCAAACTCACGAGAGTTTGGGGTCGTGTACGCAACGCAAAACGATACTTCTTTACCGACCAACAGTTTACGCAAAAATTCACGAGACTCAAATGCGAATGGCTCATCGTCAGTCTTTGAATTTTGTCCCAAGCGTAAACGTGGTGCTTCAACATACGCGAGATTTAGTTGGCGTTCTGGTGGCGGTTGATTGCCTTTTGGTTTACCGCGAAGAGCTACAGTATCACCCGAGAGTACAGACTTTACGATGGCTTTATGGTAAACTGCCATTTTTGTTTTAATGATAAATTATTTTTACAATTGTTATTGAAGGTGGGCAAATAATAAGTAGAAATAGAAATATCCGAAAATAAGGAGCAAAAGAAAAAAATTATTTTGCAAGTGATACAAATACAATTTTTTGGGTAGATTTTATGCACAGCATTTTTGATTATCATCAAATCGTATCGTTTTTACGGTGTAAATGGTGAATTACACGATTCTATAATTGCTCGTCGCTCCTGCTAAATCAGACACTCGATAAACTGGACATTATATAAACTCTCGTTATGCGTTATGGTTTAACAAAGAGCCTCCATCAATCCGACAACTTGACC